CTGGAAAAAGAGGAGGAAATATATTAATATGATGATATTGTTATTGTATATCATTAATGCAATTGAAGACTTTCTCTTTCTGTTTGTGTTTGTTATTATTTTTCTGTGTATTTCTCTGTCTGTCTGTCTCTTTTTTCTTCTTTTTCTACTCCTTCTTCCCCTCTTCTCTCTCTCTCTCTCTTTCTTTCTCTTTCTTTCTTTTTCTCTTTCCCTTCCTCCTCCTCTCCTATCCTCTCTCTCTCCCTCCCTCCCTCCTTCTTTTCTCTCTCTCTCTCCCCCTCCCTCTCTCCCTCCCTTCTTCTCTCTCTCTCTCTCTCTCTCTCTCTCTCTCTCTCTCTCTCTCTCTCTCTCTCTCTCTCTCTCTCTCTCTCTCTCTCACTCACTTTATCAGAAGCACACACGAAACTGAGCGAAGACCAACACATTAGGCCTCTTAATAAACAATCGATCGTGCGTAAACATTCGTCCTTTTTTAGCTAATGACTTGATTTTCTTTTCATGCGTAAACACCCACGTCCATTGTATGCCATTTTGCTGTCATGCTGAGCCAGGGTGTGGATCGGAAGGCATCGGGGATGCATGAGTCAGCTGTTCGTTCGTATCGATGGACTATCGAGGAGTCACAGTGTCTTTTTCTCTCTGTGTATGTCTCTGTATTCTCATTCTTCTTCTCTTCATCTTTTTTCTTCTTCTCCTCCTTCTTCGTTCATTCTCTCTCTCTCTCTATCTATCTATCTCTCTCCCCTCTCCCATGAGTCAGCTGTTCGTACGTATCGACTGACTGTCAGGGAACCACGATCTCTCTCTTCCTTATGTCTCCTCCTCCTCTTTCTCCTTCTCCTCCTCCTTCTCCACCCCCTTCTTTCTCTTCTCTCTCTCTCCCTCTCTCCCCCTCTTTCTCATGAGTCAGCTGTCCGTACGTATCTTTCTCTTTCTTATGTCTCCTTCTCCTCCTCTTTCTTATGTCTCCTTCTCCTCCTCCTCCTCTTTCTTCTTCTCCTTCTTCTCCATCCCCTCTCATTCTCTTCTCTCTCTCTCCCTCTCCCCCTCGTTCTCATGAGTCAGCTGTCCGTACATTTCTCTCTTTTTCTTATGCCTCCTCCTCCTCTTTCTTATTCTCCTTCTCCACCCCCCTCTCTCTTCTCTCTCTCTCCCTCTCCCCTTTTTTCTCATGAGTCAGCTGTCCGTACATATCTCTCTTTTTCTTATGTCTCCTCCTCCTCCTCTTTCTTATTCTCCTTCTCCACCCCCCTCTTTCTCTTCTCTCTCTTCCTCTCCCCCTCTTTCTCATGAGTCAGCTCTACGTACTGGTAATTGATACCCTAAATACAGGACACGTTTGCTGTAAGGAGCTGGTTTGGGATTATGTTCGGTCTGTTTCGGGTCTGTTGAATTCCTTTTCGAGCGGGCACACTTACGTATAATTTATGTATAATTTATGTATAAATTTACATAGGCTATATACTAATTGATCTACGTAAATATACAAATGTCATACATACTCCCTCTCTCTCTCTCTCTCTCTCTCTCTCTCTCTCTCTCTCTCTCTCTCTCTCTCTCTCTCTCTCTCTCTCTCTCTCTCTCTCTCTCTCTCTCTCTCTTTCTCTCTCTCTCTCTTTAGAAATATATATATATATATATATATATATATATATATATATATATATATATATATATATATAAACACAATTTCCAAAACCATTTATTTCCCCCAACCAAAACTCGATATTCCATTACTTGTACACCACACCACAATTTCACATTTAACCATTACATATACATATAAATAAAACGCATCCAGCTCAACTTATCATGTCCTGACCACCACATTCATTAACGTCACTGCTATGCACACCGTAACCGAGGAGAGAAGACCTTGACCATAGCACTGAGACTGGCGGTGAGGGGGGGGGGGGGGGTTGTACAGTACCTCCCTGGCTGCGTGTGTGTTCGCCACCTCGCTTTCCTTAAGGAGCTTCACAAGGAGGTGTGGTAGTTTGATGAATAGTTTGAGTCATTGGGGCACTTCTATAAAAATCTATCTATCTATCCATCTATTTATCTATCTATCTATCTATCTATCTGTCTATCTATCTATCTATCAATCTATCTATCTACCTATCTATCTATCTATCTATCTGTCTATCTATCTATCTATCAATCAATCTATCTATCTACCTATCTATCTACCTATCTATTTATCTATCTGTCTACCTATCTATCTACCTATCTATCTATCTATCTATCGATTGACTGTATGTAATGCATATATAACATACATTACAACGAATGCCCGACTACCACAACCAGATCTTCAATCGGCCGCCGTCGAAGCTTCCACGCAAACCCAGCATCCGTGACCTCCCGCCGGTGTCTTCTCACGCCGACTGATCTCGTGAGATAACCTCCAGGGATGCTTAGATTGAGATCGGTGCGAGAGGGAGAGAGGGAGAGAGGGAGAGAGGGAGAGAGGGAGAGAGGGGGAGAGAGAGAGAGGGAGGGGGGGAGGGTGAGAGAGAGAGAGGGGGGGAGGGAGAGAGAGAGGAGAGAGAGAGAGAGAGAGAGAGAGAGAGAGAGAGAGAGAGAGAGAGAGAGAGAGAGAGAGACGCAGAGAGAATGAAAGAGAGAGAGAGAGAGAGAGAGAGAGAGAGAAAAAAATGAAAGAGAGAGAGAGAGAGAGAGACGAAGGAAATCATCCGTGGTTCTTCGAGGCGTTGGTTGATATTACTGTTGAACCAAATTCGTGTTGACGAATGTAGAAAAGGTGTGAAAGAGAATGGATAATCTTGTTATTGTTATTATTGTTGTCATGTTGGTTTCGTGTGAAATATTAAAGATGGTGTTAATTGTTGTCATTGTTTTTATTGTTTTTTTTTTTTAGTGAGATAGAATGATTTGTATCTATTTTTTTAATGTTTTAAATTGTTTATTTAGGAATTCAGGAGAAATATGAATACGTAGTTCTGATGAACTACTAATACTGATATGTATATATTTACTTTTCACTCAGAATAACCAGGAAATTATAATGACATAAAACTATAATTTCTTCACAGAAACGTATATCAAAATCTACCTCTATCCCCAACTGCCTTCAATAATTCGTAAAAATATAAACCTTTATTCACCCGGACGTAAGATGAGACGTCTCTGATTAAGCAATAAATATTCCGGTCCCCAAATGCAGCAGACACTTAAAGTCATGCACTGAGGTCATGCAAGAGAAATGCCCAAACGAGCGAGGTAATGCGGGGTAGATTTTATCGAGGGTCAGATGCCGCTTGCGATATGCATGCGTCATGATACAGGGATTCTCATGCTCTTATGTATATGTATGTATGTATATGTATATATATATATATATATATATATATATATATATATATATATATATATATATATAGAGAGAGAGAGAGAGAGAGAGAGAGAGAGAGAGAGAGAGAGAGACAGAGACAGAGAGAGAGAGAGAGGGGGGGAGTGAGTGAGAGAGGAGTGAGATGAGTGAGAGAGAGAGAGAGAGAGAGAGAGAGAGAGAGAGAGAGAGAGAGAGAGAGAGAGAGAGAGAGAGAGAGAGAGAGAGGGGGGGGGGGAGAGTGAGTGAGTGAGTGAGAGAGAGAGAGAGAGAGAGAGAGAGAGAGGGGGGGGGAGGGAGATAGGGAGTGAGTGAGTGAGTGAGAGAGAGAGAGAGAGAGAGAGAGAGAGAGAGAGAGAGAGAGAGAAAGAGAGAGAGGGGGAGGGAGGGAGAGAGAGAGAGAGAGAGTGAGTGAGTGAGTGAGAGAGAGAGAGAGAGAGAGAGAGAGAGAGATAGTGAGTGAGTGAGAGAGAGAGAGAGAGAGAGAGAGAGAGAGAGAGAGAGAGAGAGAGAGAGAGAGAGAGAGAGAGAGAGAGAGAGAGAGAAAGAAAATGAAAGAAAGTGAGATCAAACCCGTTCGAAGAATTTGCCATCATTAATCACTGACAATTTAACAGACACCTCAATCCTGTACCGAGACGCGTTTCACCATTAATTAAAATCTAGATCACTTACGAATCAACGCAGTATCTATGCACTGAATCACGCCCTAGTCATCTCTCACAGTAAATAACTTTCAACATTCATATCTCTTTGAATCAACTTTATTCAATTTTATTAATTCTCCAGTTGACTTTTGACATGATGCCAGGTGGTACAAAATGTTACGTCCTTGGTACATTTCATTCAACTTTTTTTTTTCAAATGATAAATGATCATCTGTGAAATCTTCCTTGCAGAAATGTTTGTGCAATATTGCATGGTGAAATTGAAGGTGCGTTAGATCCTGGTGGTGGGAAAGTTGGGTTTCATAAGTAGATAGGTGGATAGAAATAGATAGGTAGATAGATGAAAACATATATATATATAGATAGGTAGATATGTAGATAGATCAATAGATTAATAGATAGGTAGATTGATAGATAGATAGATAAGTAGGCGGGCAGGTAGGTAAATGGATAGGAAGACAGATAGGTAGCTAAATGAATAAACAAATAAATAGGTAGACAGATAGATAGATGGATAGATATATAGACAGATAGATAGATAGATAGATAGATAGACAGACAGATAGATAAATAGATAGATAGATAGATAGATAGATAGATAGATAGATAGAGAGAGAGAGAGAGAGAGAGAGAGAGAGAGAGAGAGAGAGAGAGAGAGAGAGAATCAGACAGAAAACGAAACAAAGAGAAAGGATTTTATAATGCTTTCCTCTCCAGGTAATGATAATGATGGTGATGAAGATGATGATGGTAATGATGATCATGACAGCGATGATGATGATGATGATGATGAGATGATGATGGTGATGATGATGGTGATGATGATGGTGGTGGCGGAGATGATAAAGGTAATAATGATGATGGCGGTGGTGATAATGCGACTATTTGTATCATTGCAGAGGCTGGTGATGTTGCGTTATCATTATTAATATTATTATTTTTCTTAATGTTTATGGACTGTTTCTTACTCAATATTGGTT